TTCTCTGTGGAGCTGCCCATCGGCACTGACCTGGCGCCTGCTGCCAAGGTGCTGGGTTACACGGTGCTGCCCAATGGAGAGCTGGCTGCCGACTGCGCCCGGCTGCAAATGGCAAAGTGCCTCCCGAACAAGGTGAGCATGGGGCTCAGGGAGGAGGAGCCTCTGGGGTGGGGGAATCGCTCGCTGCCCCATAACAGGAGCCCTGAGCAGGGACATCGCTGGGTGTCCTCGGCCCCTCCCTTCCCCGGCCTTACAGCAGCGCCAGGGTCGTTGTGGTAGTGCCAGCTCTGGTGAATTGATCACTAGCCATTTCGCCCCTGCTGCAGGCATTCCCGCGGTGACAGGAAGAGCTCCAGTCCCCGCACAATGTAGGAGCAAGTGCCTGCCATCCCCCCCCTCCCATTCCGCTCTCCCTGGCCACAGCAAGTATCTGCTCCCCCAAACCCTTCCTGCCTCCCCCAGTCCACCCTGCTTCCCCCGCGGACTCAGCCTCTCACTCTGGGCCCAGCAGGTACCTGCTGCCTGTCCCTGAGTCCCTGGGCGATACTCTGGAACTGCTCCCTATGAAGCCAGGCAGGACTTTGGTGAAGTCTCCTCTCTGTGAGCAGACTGTCTCCAGGGCAAGAAGCTCACATGGCTTCCACCTTCCTGGGTCTGACCTTGGAGTATTCAGCATATGCCCCTCCGTGCGCTTCCCACAGTGAGTCCGCCCAGGCGGGGTCCTGGGGAAGCCAGAGGGTCCTGCCCCCCACTTCACAGTCAGACGTGACTCTCAGCCAGCCAGTAAAACAGAGGTTTATTAGATGACAGGAACACGGTCTAAAACAGAGCTTGTAGGTACAGAGAACAGGACCCCTCAGCCGGGTCCATTTTGGGGGACAGTGAGCCAGTCAGCCACATCTGCACTCACTCCACGTCCCCAGCCAGCTCCAAACTGACTCCTCCTCCAGCCCCTCCTTCTCTGAACTTTGTCCCTTTCCTGGGCCAGGAGCTCACCTGATTCCTTTGTTCTCCAACACCTTTAGCTATCACCTTGCAGGGAGGAAGGGCCCCGGCCATTAGTTGTCAGGAGACAAAGTGTTGGCCATTTATGTACAGCGGCCCTCCGCTCTGCAACAATTACATCCCCTTATCCCACCACCTAGAGACTTAAGAGATGCATAGGGGAAACTGTGGCACCCCTACAGTATTCAGAGGAAACATTAAGAACAGTCCCACTTCGTCACACTGCCTGCCTGCACTCTCCTGCCCCACCCCTCACCCTCCCTGTGCCCAGCTCCCCAGAGCTCCTGCTTCTGTCCCTCCCATCCCACTGACCAGGACCCGTCCCCTCCCCATCCCATGCTGGGCTCCCCGGCAGGTACCTGCTGCCCTGAGCCCTCCCCACTCCCCAGTCTCTGCAGCCACTTGCTCCCCCAACCCCCCAGAACTTCTGTCACCTCAACCCTACCCACTGCCCATCCTCCAACCCGCGCCTGCCCCTGCTCACCCTGGGAGATTCCTGGGGCAGGGGGCAGGATATGATGGTCTGATCCCCCTTCCCCGCTGGAGGCTTGCGGGGTGGCTAGCTGGCCATATTTCTTTAGAGGGCTTCTAAGGGGGCCGCTGCCCCTCCAGTCGACTGGGGCACAAGTGTCATGAGGGGAGGGGCCCCTCTCCTCCTCTGGGCCGGCAGCCAGCTCCCACTCTTAGCCAGTAGAAACTTCCCCCCATGAAGGCTGGGGCTCCCCTCTCTGGGCAGCCAGCAGGGGTACGTCCCTGTCATTGAGAAAAAGCTTTTGCCAGGGACCAGCCGTCAGCCCCCTCCCCACTGCACATAGAGGTCAGTTGGGGGGAAGGCCCCTCCCCTCTGGGAGTAGGGAGGTAAAGATACAGAATTCCTCCTCTACCTCTCCCCTCCATCTTGTGGGGTCTGGCTGAGTCCTTCTGCCCCCCCCCCACTTCACCCCACTGCCCTGGTGGTAAGTGTGACCCTTCTGCCGCCCCCCCCCCCCCGCCCACGCCCGGGAAGGCAATGCATTGTTACCTGGGGGCATTTCAATGCCCCCCTCAGCAATGGCAGCTGCCCCCCAGGCAACTGGCATCTGCTTGATATTGGCCTCATCGCTCAGCCTTCAGCCGACCCCCCCGGGCAATGCTGTGCATGTCCAGACACACTGTGGGGTGGGGCAGGGGGAGCGGAGAAGCCAGAGGACAGACTGCAGCCCAGGGCTTCATCCTCGTCAAGAATCTCAGGACTTTTTGGGGGTCTAACTCATGAGTTTTATCTGGTGGGGCTGGCGATCCTGTCATATCCCTACCCCCCTGCACCTCCTATCCCCCCCCGCCTGGGTGTCTATGAATAACTGCAGCTCCCTGAGCTGTCCCACGGGGGCGCTGAATGAGCCTGGGCTGCCTCAACCCCCCACCTCCAGCACCGACTCCCAAAGCCCCAGCCCTTCAGCCAGCGGGGCCTGGGGCCAGAGTGACACTCGGTGCCTGGTCCACCCCGGCCTGTCTCCTCCTGCCCCTGGGGGGTCTCTCTCCCCCTCCCCTGTGACGCGCTGTGCCTCGCCAGGTGAAGCTGGCCTTTTCGCAGGACTGGGCCCTGCCAGGCTCAGAGCTCCAGCTGCGGGTGCAGGCTGCCTCTGGGTCCCTGTGCGCCGTCCACGCCGTGGATCAGAGCGTGCTGCTCATGAAGCCCGAGGCTGAGCTCAGTGTCGACACGGTGAGTCCAGAGCCACTCGCCCGGCCCCTCCTGCGACGAGTCCTCCCCCCTTGCAGGGAGGGGCAATGCACAGCCGCTGCGGGACACTCCTCGAGGCCTCCTCTCCCCAGTCTGGGGGCTGCTCCCATGGCACTTGTCACCCCCTAACTCGGGGGGTCCCCGCTTGCCTTGCCTGTTCTTCCTTCAGCCCTTGCAGTGCCCCCCTCCCGGCACTTCCTCACCATGGCTCCGGCTGGGAACATGGAGCTTGGAGCTGAGATAATGGCCGGGGTAACCAGAGCTCGCTCTTCAGGGCAGAGCTGGTCCCCAGGGACGGGAGCAGGAGAATCCCCTGCCCGCCATGTACAGCAGGGGACATATGGCCAGGTGCATTGTGGGAGTTGTCCCTGCCCGGGTGACGGAATTGCACTCGGCCCGTCACTGGCGCCTGCCATCCAGGAGCTCACGGGCTCTGTACACGGCGAGTGGAGCCTCCCAAGCCCCTTTGGGCAGCAGGAGATGGGTCTCGATGGGCCAGGGGCTGAGTTATGTGTCCCTGTGAGCCATGGTCCCAGGGCCAGCCCCCGATGCAGCCCCTCTCTGATCCGGACAGAGTGGGGGAGGGGCGCTAAGAGCCATTCGCTGCCCCACAGAGAGAGGGGGGAACCTGCTCCTCCCAGGTTCTCCCAGGATGTTGGGAGCCGCGGGTCCCTGTCCTAGGACTGGGGCAGGAGCTGCAGGGACAGACGCCCATGTGGGGGATGGGGATGGGGGATGGGCAGGATGGGGGGAGGTTTCCAGGCTAGAGATGAGGCTGGGGTGAGAGCGAAGGTTTGTGGGGTGATGTGCTAGTGGGAGGAGGGGCAGGAGCTGGCTCTGGGGTAGCTCGTGTCTTGGTTTCATGGCTGATGTCTGTGTTTGTCTTTAGGTCTATAAACTGCTCCCCTATATTCCCCAAGGAGACTATCCCGATGCAGTGCGAGAGCGTGAGTCATGTTATCATGGGGACCCTGGTAGCTCCGGTGCGGTTCCATTTCTTAACTGCCGCGTTGGCAGGTGGAGGTGTCGCAGAGGGACTAGCAGCTGGACTCCCCGACTGCCTAATGCCTACAGCCTGTTTAAGGTAGGGTTGGGCCTGGCCAGGCCTCACAGTCTTCTAGTCTGAAAGGACTAAACTGGCTCCGATGTGCCCAGAGCTGCTGGTAACCAGGGGCAACATCCCACCAAATGGTCCGGCTTGTTCCAATGAATCCCCAGGGATGCTCCTAGCAAACTCAGGCCTGGGATACACCTCCCCAGCCACCTTCAGACACGGCCCAGGCCCTGAGACAGATCCCCGGCGTATCCAGGGAGCAGGAACGCCCCATCCCACCTCGCTCCTGGGCACAGGGATATTACATGTGGGGCTGGCAGCACCACCTCCAGTTACAATTCTCTGGCACTTCCCGTTAGAAGTTTTCAGTTCTTGTAACTTTGTAAGATTGAAACGATTGGGGCCGAAATTTCCCCAGCCAGGGGTCAGCCTCAGGTTGAACTTTCTGAGGGGTTTCAGCTAACACAGCTCAGCAGTTGCTCAGAAGGGGAGGTGGGGAAAATACTCGGTTTTCCCATGATAAAATGAAGCTGTTTAATTGAGATGCTCCCTGCCTCTGAGCAGAGACTTGACCCTAGACCGGGAGGTCGCCCTTGGGTCAGGGAGGTGCCCTTTGTCTTTCCCATGACATGCAGCCCCCATTCGGCTGCATGGGAAGCTCCTGGGAATGGCAGGACCCACATGCCAATCAGAGGCTTGGAGTTTGGCAGCATTATTCTGCGAGGAATCCCTCTGCACTGCGCCTGCTCCATCCCCTCCTACGTGCCGACCGGCCTGCGCGCGCCTTCGCCACAGAGCGACTGAGCCTGCTCCAGCCCGGGCCATGGGAGCAGAGCAGGATTTTCCTGAAATGGCTCCTCCCGGCCAGCAGGACCTGCGGTGGCACTGGGTGTGGGAACAGAGCTCCCGGAGATGGTGCCTCTGGTGCTCCCAGTGTTCCCCTGCCGGTCCCAGGCAGCCTGGAGGAGGAGGAAGCCACCTGAGTGAAATGTGCAGGGGGGCAAGGAGGGGGTGGGGGATGGATGCAGATGGGGCAAGGAGGAGTTGTGGGGATGGGTGCAGAGGGGGCAAGGAGGGAGTTGTGGGGATGGGTGCGGAGGGGGAAAGGAGGGGGTGGAGGATGGGTGCGGAGGGTGATGTCATCTTGCCCCACCAGAGGGAGGGATGGACGACGTCCTCCCAAAGCCCACAGGGGCTGGGAGTCAGGAGACCGGGGCTCTGTCCCAGCTGGGGGCTGCTCTGAGTGTTGGCAGCCTCCCCAGGGCGTGGGAGCTCAGTCAGACGGCCATAGTGGAATGGGCCGGGACCCGCCCTCCCACTGCCAGCAGCCCCGTACAGTGAGCGTGCTGCCCATGGCACCCAGCACCGCGTGCACCGCGGCATCTAGGGGCTGCCCAGTGGCCAAGTCACTCCCCAGAACTGTTCCCCAGGCGGGCGGGGGCGTTGGGTTCTGGGCACCAGGGGACCAGACAGATGCTGCCGCGGGTGGAGCTCGGGGAGCGCGGCCGGCCCCATGGGCGGGTGCTGCACATTGCAGGGGGTTGGCAGCTCTGCTCGAGCGGAGGTTGAGTGTCGCTGGCTGTTTAAAGAGGAGTGTCTGAGTGCTCTGACATCCACAGCCTGGCCTGAGATGTGCTGTGCCTCATGGCAGTGCAGGGAGGGGCTAGTGGGCCACATGGGAGGTCATTTGAGTGGGGGGGGGCAAGATACAGCCCCCCTCATAAAATGGGTTTACACGACCACCGGGTTCTCATCATGCTCTTTGCCCTGATGGGGAGGGGAGGGGGACTGAACTGAGGCCCCAGAGAGTGAGGCGCATGTGCAGCCAGGCTGGGGCTCCGTGGAGCCAGCGGGTTTGCAGGCAGTCTGGTGTCACAGTGACCGAGGGGCGCCAGGGGACGGGCTGTGGCCCGTGGATCGCCGGGGTGCCCACGGGCTGTGAGGTCAGGCCCCACCCAGGGCAGGTTTGGGAGGCTGCGGGTTGCACCCCCCATAGCCTCCGCTCTGCAGCGGCTCCGTTGGGCAGTTTTGCCTGAGACCGAAATCTGGGGTTGAGGGCGACGTTTTCAAGGGCTGTAAGAGCCACGTGCAGACGCTGCCGTTCCTGCAGAGGGTTGCCAAGGGAATGAGCATCGAGCAGAGGGAAGGGCAAAGCCTCCAGCCCCCGGTTAGGAGAATCCAAGCAGGCTGCTCAGGGCTGGACTGAGGCAGACTGGACCCTTTCAGGTTTATGTGCCCCTCTCCTCCTGTGGCAGGCACAGCTCTGTGTGATGGGATCCCCGGGTACACCCTGGAACTGGGATACTGCTGTGCCCCCTTCACTCTCCAGCCTGGGCTGTCTCTCACAGTGCTTTGCTAGTAACAAGCATCAAATCCCTCCAGGCGCTGTGATCATTCAGCACAACAGCATGTGGAGCCCCCCCCCCGCCCCCCTCCCAGCTAGATTGCATGAATGCTCCCAGAGCCGCATACAAATCACACAGAGAAAGGCACCAGCCAATCTCCCAAGCTCCCCGCCTTGCACCCCGGAACTGTACCATTTTGCCCTGGTCAGAAGCCTGGCCAGTGTAAGTTTATTACCCAGTCCGCCCCTCCCTCGATGTGGAGAGGACACACACCAGCCTTTATAACCTCAGCTGAGATTTCCCAAGACTTCAACCAAAACACCCTGTTTTCTGTAAAATATAAAACAGATTTATTAACTACAGAAAGATAGTGATTAAGTGATTATAAGTGGTGGGCACAAAAGGTCAGAGATAGCTACCAAAGAAAATAAAAGGTAAGTACACAGTCTAGATCTTAAACCTTATTACACTAGGCAGTATTTGGATCAAGCCGTGTTCTCACCCCACTCGAGGTTACAGTTCTTAACACACAGGCTTCCCCTTTTAAGCCTGGGACCAGTCTCCTCAGTTGAAGTCTTTGTCCTCCCAGTGTTCTTGTTGCTTCCAGCGTAGATGGGGGAGGAGAAACGCGAAAGTATGATGCCACAGTCCCCTCTTTTAGCAGCTCCGGATGCTTTTTCCTCTGTCTTCCTTCTCACCCAGAATGTGGCTTTGAAAATTCTCACCAACACCAACACCAAGGAGCCATGTGAACATAAACGCTATATAACACGTCGTGCTGTCCTAACCTCGGCTGTCGGGCGGGGCCCCGCATTGTCTTCACTAGGTCAGTGGACTGGGCACTTCCATCCCTCTTGATCAGCAATTCCAAATGCCCTCTCTGCCCTCTGAGCGGAGACGGCCCTGTGGGCTCATAGATCGGGCCTGGAACCTGGGTTCTGATCCTGTGTGGGGATTCTCCATTGTTTTCAATGGGGCCAGGGTGGGAGGGTTCTCCAGTGTTCTCAGTGGGAGCTGGGCACACGTGATCATCTGACCCTTCCAATTCAGCTCTGCTCCTCCCCCTTCGGCTGGAGGCTCTTTGAGGCAGGGCCTGTAGCTGCCTGTGGAGGGACAGTACCCGACCTCCTGCGGGCACCACCCCAATACACATGCTAATCACATGTGCCAAGTGGTGGTGACCGTGGCATCGGCCTGTTCCTTGCCTGTCTCTCAGTGACTCCAGCCCAGATACACTCGCTTCACACGGAGACCAATGGCTTTTCTAGCTCCAGCCTCACGCGCTGCCCTGGGATCTGAGAGTCAAGCTGACTGTTATGGAGATGATCACATCAAGTCTTGCAATGCCCACTCATACTCAGTGGTTGCGGTAGAAACGCACTGAGCCTTTCTAGGCCTCCATGTCCCAGCTGCTCAGTGTGGCTAATGATTTGACCTGCCTGGCTACCGGCTCTTTGTGCAGGGCTCTGGGAGTGCAACGTACCCTTAACGCTGCTCGTGGCAGAGCTGGGACTGAGCTCAGGACTCCCTGGCTCCTGCCCATGTGCTGAGTCCACCAGCGTGTGCTGCACGTAGGACATCCCCAGCCCCACCCCCTCCAGCCCCAGCCCTGCCAGCAGGGGTCAGTTCTCAGAGCTCCCGGGGGCCACGTGCAGCCCCCGAAGTGTCCCCAAACATCAAGACTTTGCAGGTGCAAACACACGTGAATCATTGTCTGGATTTGCCTGCAAACCAGCGTGGGGCTCCCTGAACCCCCCTTTGTATCTTTTCTTGGCATGATCCCTGGGGCAGCAAGTGTGGCTAGTGCAGCAGGGACCCCAGTGAGCAATGCCCAGCCCGTGCCAGAACGCTGCACCCAGGAGGAGCCAGTGCCACATGCGTACTTCACAGAGACGTGGCTGTGGGACCTGGTGCCTGTGGGGTGAGTGAGGAGGTATCACAAACCGTCCCTGCGGAGTGGCCTGCAGGCCATTCCCTGGATCCTGTCGTGGTCGGCAGGGTGTTTATCATCCTGACCCCAATGTCCTTCGTGGGGTTTTCATTCCCACACGGTGCCCGGGAGCTCCGACGCTGAGAACATGGGAGGGGTTTGAACCCCCCGGACGGGGGCATGGAGGGTGGCACATGGGGAACAAGTGGGAGTGGCCGGTCAATCCGAGCAGGAGGAATTGAGGCAGACACCCAGGAATAGCCCCCTGACAGGGAGACGTGTCTGGCTGCGGAAGGGGGGAACCCCATCCCGTGGGACATTGAGCTCAGCCCGGAGAGTTATGGGGCAGGGAAGGATTCTGCGCTAGCCGGCGTGGGGCAGAGGAGGGGACGAGATGGGAACACTGACAGCTCTTCTCCTCTCTGCTGTCCGGGATTGGCCTGTTTCTGTGCCACTGCCTAGGCTCCAGCCCAGCGGAGGGTTAGGCAGGGACATCTCCGGTGGCTGTGCTCGTGGGAGCTTCCCAGGGGGCGGCCGCATGTCTGACGCTCTGTTTGTGTCCGTCCCGGTCCAGCGAGGGGGGCTCCAAGGACGTCCCAGTCTCGGTGCCCGACACCATCACGGAGTGGAAAGCTGGGATGTTCTGCACAGCGGAGGTCGGCTTTGGGCTCTCGCCCACGGCCACCTTCACGGCCTTCAAACCCTTCTTTGTGGAGCTGGCCTTGCCATATTCCGTGATCCGGGGAGAGACCTTCACCCTAAAGGCCACCGTCTTAAACTACCTGCGGCAGTGCATCAAGGTGAGTGCCGCCCAGGGCTGACCGGCTGGGTCTGCTGCGGCCGATGACCTGGGGCTGGGGAGCTGGGCAGCGGCGCAGGCCGGCGAGTGGCACCGGCAGTCACTGGCTGTGATCCTGTGACCACTGGGGTCAGCACATCGCGGTGAGGGGGCCTGAACCCCAGAGGGGTCACATCTCGGCTGGAGCTGTGCATGTGAGCGCGTCCCCCACAGCCCTAAGGGAGCTCTCGTGTTGGCCCCACAGGTGCGAGTGACGCTGGCGGAGTCTGTGCAGTTCCAGGTGCAGGCGGCCGAGGACGGTGCCTACACCAGCTGCCTCTGTGCAGACGAAGGGAAAACCTTCCAGTGGGAGGTGACAGTGAGCAGCCTGGGTAAGGGGCGCTGGGGGCTCTGTGCCGGAGGGGAGGGGAGGGTCAGGGAAGGGGTGGGGGGCTCTGCAAGGGGGGGCAGTGAAGGGGTGCTGGAGCCTTTACAATTGGGAGGCAGGTAAGGGCCTATGGAGGCTCTGCTTGGGGGACAGACGGGTAAGGGGCATTGGAGGCTCTGTGCTGGGAGTGAGGAGGAGGGCACAGAACAGGATCACTTGGGCTTGGTGCCGAGGGGAAGGGGAAGGGACGGGAAGAGCTGCGGGGAGGGGCGGCGAGGACACCCCAGCAGAAAATCCCCTTTCACGTTAACCCCTCTGCCAGGTGGAGCTGGCAGCAACAAGGGTCGGGTTCAAAATCTGGGACTTCCCCTTAGCAGTATAGCACAGAGCCAGCTCGGCCCCACTCACTGGCAATGCCTCCACTGTTGCTGTCTGCAGCTGGCTCCCAGCTGCCACTGTCTCTCTGCCGCTGAGCCACTGCGCCATAGCAGGGCACAATCCAGACTAATAAGCAGCTCTGTCACCCCTGCCTGGCCCCCTTGGGTGCCTTCAGTAGCTCCCACCTGGGCTGCTCACACCCAGCCCCAGCGTGTAAGCCGCACCCTGAGTGTCGGTGTGTGACTGCAGCCTGCCTGCCACTCCTGGGTTACACTCTGGCTCTCGCCAACCTGGGTTATACTGCAGGGTGACCCCAACATCCCCCAGTCCCAGATCTTCCTCCAGAAAGGTCTGTCCTGTCTCCCCTGCCCTCTCCTGGCAATACAAGTTACATTGCGGCCGATATTCCTTTACAAGAATACCATGCACTCGTCCTGTCACCCCACATGGAGTTGCCCAGACACTTGGATTTAAACACACTGGATTAGATAAAACAATCAAACACATTCATGAACCACAAAGGCTTGGTCTACACTAAACCCCCAAATCGAACTAAGGTACGCAACTTCAGCTACGTGAATAACGTAGCTGAAGTCGACATACCTTAGTTCGAACTTACCGCCGTCCAGACCCGGCAGGCAGGCTCCCCCGGCGGCCCCCCCGACTCCCCCTCGCCGGGCGGGTTTACGGGAGCGGAGGGGGGGCCCCTCTG